AATTTGAGCGAGCTGGGCCTCCCTTGAACTTGTGGAGAGTGACTTGACTATTGGATGAGATCTTTCAGGAATTTCTGCGGAATGAACCTCTTCGTCTTCTTCGATTATCTTTACAAGCTTAATAGAGCTAGCGTCGCGATTGGCACCAACAGAAGGGTTCGAGAGAAATACTGCAGCAGGTACAAGCATACCACGACCGATGATAGCGTCACAGTCTTCCTCGTCGTCAGCATCTCCATCGTCCTCGGGAGAGTGTGAAATATCAGACGCTTCGATCATACGCCTTTCTTCCATTTCTGTTAAACCAGAAGGCGGAACAATTGTCATTTCGTCCGAAGGAAGCCCACAGAATAGATGAGGAAGAGCAGGGTCGTTATCCATAGAGAAGGCCGACGTCCCAGATGAGGATGAGAGAGAAGTTGAGTAGGAAGATGAAGTTGAGTAGATGATCTCGTCTGGTGAGGTAGTGGCTGCTCGTTGGGAATTCTTCTTAGTTGTAGAACCATTCCAATGAGGGGTGAACAAGTTGCTTGAACCCGTATTGGAAATGACGGGCTTTTGGCGATCATTCTGTCGATTCTCTTTCTCTTCTGTAATAGTAGGAAGTACTATCAACCCTTGTTGACTCGGAACCTTTTCTTGTTGTAGAAGCGGAGACGTCGGTTGGTCTAGTGAACAGGTTTCATGAGCCTTTGAGAGCGCTTTCTTGTTCTTCTGGTTTAATTTTTGACCTTGATTCTGCTTGAGTGAATTCTGTGCGAAGAGGGTCGACGGTTTGGGGGTAGGAAGATTGGTGAACGAAGTCCCAAACGGAATTCTTGTTTGTCGAGAGGTTAAAGTCATTATTGGCCGTAATTAAATTTAAGAGAAATTATGATAGAATTGATAGCGAATGGAGTGAAGTGACTGGTTGACTGTAGAGGTCGAGAGCAAGTGGTAAGAGCCACACTCTGGACAAGCTCACTGTACGTATTTAGCTGATAGTTGCATATTATAGAGACCGACAAACCTCTACACAGCCTCGATTTTTATCCAAACTTTCATCAGCTAGCAGCTCACCCCACCAGATGCAATCACTTGGAGACCACCATTTCCATCTGGCCACCAGCTAGCGCTTTCATTCCTCCTGCATCCCTCATTCAAGGCGCCTTTGTTCCCTAG